GTACCCCCTCCGTTAGTCGGTCGTCCGGGCGCCAGTGGAGAGTTGGAATCGACTCATTAATTGAGCGATCGCCACTCCACCACAATGGTGCGCGTGCCCGGATTCGAACCAGGGATTTCACCGTGAGTCCCTAAGTGAAGAAGTGAAAGTCAAGACTGAACCTGGGATGGAAGCGTTAGAGGCAAAGGGATCGCCTCCGACGCGTTGGAAGAGATGACTCTCTTCCCAAGCGCCGCCTTTGCGACGGTGGCTTCGCTGTTTTCCCCTCTGGCGTGCAAACTCCTCCGTTTGACTCAGGTGCGCCTGAAGTCTTACCATTGATTGAGTTCGCATTGGATCCTCCAGTTGCGACAGAGGATGGTTTAACTGATGCTTGTCCTGTTGAACGAGGTCTCATGGATGCGCCTAACCGCAATCCTCGAGGGGTTCCTCATTCTAGGATCTCGCGAGTCTGGTCACCTTCGGTGGGGAAGGCGTGGATGAAGGTGAAGCTGGGGAAGGAGTAGATGTAGGTGAAGTTCATAAAGGAGTGGATGACGTTGGAGTGGATGAAAGTGACGTTGCTTCTGATGGTGGCATCGATGATGTCAATAAGGTTTCTGGTGCACTTGGAGATAGTATGAGTGATATAGATGGCCCTGATGCGAAGGATATGGGTGATTCGTTTTGACGTCCAAGACGCGTTCGTCGACAAAACACAAGGCTGCAAGACTTTCAGGTAGAGCTGCCCGCCAGTCTATTCATTGAAGAGATCAATGCTGTGATGGATTCACAGACAGTGCAGCAAGCGTTGATGGCGCCTGACTCGGACAAGTGGATTAAGGCGCTCGAGAAAGAGTACAATGACCTTGTGCGGAATCATACGTGGGAACTTGTGAAAAGACCGAAAGGCAAAAATATTTTATCAAGTAAGTGGGTATTTGTGGGAAAAAGTGACGCACACGGACACGTCGTTGGTCATCGAACCTGGATAACCGTTAAAGGCTGTCAACAGCGCTATGGTGTTGAATTTTGGGAGACCTACGCTCCTTTGGTTTCTCAAGAAGCAGTAAAGTTCATCGTGTTGTTGGCGTTACACTTGGACCTTAAAGTGGCGCCATGTGGACTTCGTGACTGCATTCTTAAATGGACCGATTGGAGAGACGGAAATTTACATGGAAATGCCTAAATATTTTAATGATAGGTCAGGTCATGTCGGCAAATTATTACAAAGTCTTTACGGTCTGAAACAGGCGCCATTAATATGGTATCAAACACTTGACAATCATTTGATGTCGTGTATATTTCGTCGCTCAAAAATGGATGGTAGTATATATACCCGTTCGATTGGAGGCAGTACAATCTTTGTTTCGGTCTACGTCGATAACTTAATTACCGTAGGAACACCTAAAAATATTCAGCGGGTTATACATAAGCTGAAAGCAAAGCTTCAGATCAAAGATCTGGGTCCTGTGAAGGATCTGTTGCATATGGAGATTTCTAATGTATCTGGACAATTTATGTGGATGTAACAGAGTGGAAATATAGACAAGGTGTTGAAATGCTTTGGTATGGTAGAATGTCGTCCTGTATCTACTCCACAACCTTTAGGAAATCTGCCAGAACCCGTCGAAGACAACCACCCAGACATAAATAATCCCAAGTCGCCGTATCTAGCGCTAGTGGGCTCTCTCCAGTATATAGTGCAAGGAACTCGCCCAGAACTTGCCAATGCCGTGCGTACACTTGGAAAGTATATGAGCAAGTTTACGAAGAGCATTTTGTGATGGCAAAGCGTGTTCTGCGCTATCTACACGGCACACGTGAATATGGACTCTTGTGGAAGAAACCTGTTTGTCCCGACCTGAATTTGCTTCTTATGATGATGCTGACCTTGGTAGTGAAAAGGATGACCGTAGATCAATTACGGGATTTGTGCTGCAAATGAATGGATGCACTTACGCTTACAAGAGTCGCAAGAAAACCATTACTCACGACGATACCTGCAGGACGGAGTTTATTGCAGCTGCTGAATATTCTGTCATGATTGTTTGGACGCATAATCTTTGTGAGGAACTTAACCTTCGACGCTGTCACCCGACTGTGTTATTTCAGGGTAACCAGTCCACAATCAAAGTGATTAAGGCTACGTAGGGAAACTATAAAATCAAGGGTGTGGACTTGAAGTACCACAAGGTTCGGGATTTGTATGAACGTGGAGATTTTGACATTAGCTATTGTGCTACCACGGATATGCTAGAAGATATTTTTACGAAGCCGCTTGGATCGACACAGTTCTCCAAGCTACGTGAGCGTTTAAATGTAGTGTCACTTCCGCTGTTTAAAAACTAGCGACCGGAAAACTACAAATCAATGACGCGGACCTCGAAGTGGGAGTGTCAGAACGGTGTGTATCGGTGTATCATGCTTTGCTCTTTTCAGTACCGTTAGTGCTGACTGTGTTTCAGTATTGGAAACATGGAGCAGTCTAATTGAGCAGATTAGCCTCAACGGTGGGTCGAAGTGTAGGCTATATGAGAAGGTTTTTTTCCCGAAAGGTTGTCCTCCTCAATCAGAATTCTTTCTCGTGGACACAAAGCGTTCTCGTGTTGTATTGTCTCTGACTCTGTACTGTTAACCAGCTCAATATCCTGTCGTGAAGTGTTCATAATGTGCTACCATATATCAATTGATATGAACGACAAATCCGATATATTGATAAATGATTTTTATCGTGTTGAATGTGGTCGTACACCATGCATTAGTTGAGCATTTTGTAGATCAAGTATGTGGGTGTGCATGCTACATACTTTTATTTATGGCACAAATTTGCTATGAATCACACAAAGTACTCTTCTATTTTTAACCGTGCACGCAATTTCTTTCGTTCTTATCTTCTGCGGATTGTTTATATTCGCTTGTACTGAATATATGCTTTGCTCAGTCACATTTCAAATGCCAAACATTCTTTGGGTACGACCCCCTTGCGATCTTTTTTGTGACTTCTAATCGTACTTACGACGAAATGCCCACTGCATCAGCCTCCGTCACTCGAGATTCCAAAGCGTAGACCCATAGCGTGTGCCCACCCCCTCTCCCTCTTTCGTACGTGTCGCTGCAGTCGGTCGTCTATCCACGCTCGATAAATCCGCCACTTTACTCTAACCGCTCGTCGCTTCTGCTTCTTATTCTTCTCTTGCTGTAGATCGGTCGCCCACACCAGTCGATCGGCCACTCGCTGTCTCTTTGTGGCCGCGCCGCGTAAAAAACCTCATTTTCCGTCACGAAATTACCCACTACCCCCATAAAAACTGCGATGAAGTGGCTGCGCTCGGCTGAGATGGAGTACATCTCGCTCATTGTCAACGAAGACGCTGCGCACGACTGTGTGCAGAAAGTGGGCGACTTGGGTGTGCTCGAGTTCACGGACCTGAACCCCGAGCTCACGCCGTTCCAGCGTCGCTACGTGAACTACGTGAAGCGCTGCGACGAGATGGAGCGCAAACTCCGGTACTTCGACGTGGAACTGGCCAAATTCAGCATCGCGCCCAAGTCTTCAGCGGGTTCGATGGAGCAGTTTTTGGCCAAGTCCACAGCTGTTCGCTACGGCTCGCAGGACACGGCAGCCAGAGCGCTGGACACACTCGAGCGCCTGCTTGAAGACAAGGAGCAAGAGTTGTTGCAGCTCAATCTGATGCACGAGAAGCTCACGAAGGAATTCAATGAGCGCAAAGAGCTGCAGGAGATTCTGCTTCGAGTGGGCGAGTTTTTCGAGATGGAGAGTAAGTACTTGATTGATTGCGGTGGTGATTTTGTGTTGCAATAGTTTATTGTTGTTGGTGTTACTACTACTACTGCTGCTATTGCTGTCCCGTGCGGTTGTTGGAGGGACCTCTGGTGAAGAACTAGTGCGGACGAGTGTGTGATCGGTCTGATTGCTGGGTGTGTGCTTGTGTGACTTGGCGTCATGTAGTTCCAGAGGTGCAGACCATGCGTGGCTCGAGGACTGTGTCGCGATCAGGCGGCTACAGTTTTGTCGAAGCATCCGTGTCGGGCGAGCCATTAGAAGAAGAAGCATCGTCATCGTCGCTGCGATTCCGCAATGTGACAGGAGTCGTGCCTGCTGATGAACGGCTCAAGTTTGAGCGGATGATCTTCCGCATGACTCGTGGCAACTGCTTTATGCGGTTTTCGCCTATTGACGAGCCGCTGGTGGACCCTTCTACAAGCCAACCGGTCACGAAGAACGCATTTGCCATCTTTTTCCAGTCCGTCGTTATCGAAACCAAGCTGCGAAAAATTTGTGATGCGTTCCATGCGAGGCTGTACTCGCTGCCACCCATGGATGATCGATCTGCAATTTCCCACTTGATCCAGAGCAATGCTGGCGAATTGAATCAGAGCAGCCACATCCTGCGTCGCAATAGGGAGAGCTGTGTACTATTGTGCCGTGACCTGGCCGAGACGCTCGAGTCATGGAGGTGGTCTGTGCTACAGGAGAAAGCGACGTACCACGCACTCAACATGTTTCGTGCCGATGTAAGCGGTATGTTGCGAGCCGAGGGTTGGGTCATCAAAGAGGCTTTGGCTAGTGTGCGACGTGCTGTTGCACAAGCTCACGCAGCGGCCGATGACAAGTCGATGCCATCGCTTGTGGATACTGTGGCCAAACCGCGGCCAGTACCGCCCACTTACTTTGAGACGAACAAATTTACTGACGCCTTTCAAAACTTTGTGGAAACGTACGGCTGTCCTCGTTATCGAGAGATCAATCCGTCTGTCTTCACTGCTGTGACATTCCCGTTCCTGTTCGGGGTCATGTACGGTGACATCGGTCACGGATTATGCGTGATGCTCTTCGGACTGTACCTGATCTTGACGGAGGCCCGTCTCGAGCAGCCGGGGAAGATAGGCGAGATGATGGCATCAATTTATGGAGGACGCTACATGCTGTTCATGATGGGTGCTTTTGCCATTTATGCTGGCATCATCTATAACGACTTCTTCTCGCTGCCGCTGAACCTATTCGGTTCTAAGTTTGCGTACCCAAACTGTCTCGATTCTCACGATCGCGAGGTCAAATGCGTGGCTGAGTATATGATCGATGGCAAGATGACTTACGTGAACGCCACCGACGTCTCAGGCGGCGACAACGTGTACGCCGTTGGATTGGATCCGATTTGGAAAACGTCTTCGAACGAGCTGTTATTTTTCAACTCGTTTAAAATGAAGATCTCTGTGATCTTTGGCATAGTCCAGATGACGTTCGGCATCATTCTCAAAGGTTGGAACAACCTGTACTTTCGCGACTATTCGACTTTCTTCTTCGAGTTCGTGCCGCAGATCATCTTTGCTGTATCGCTATTCTGCTACATGATCGTGCTTATTGTGCTGAAGTGGAGCATCGACTGGACTGCGCGCATGAAGCACGAAGTGTGCCCATATAATTTTGCCGGTGAACATACTGGCTGCCGTCCGCCTTCGCTCGTGAACACTCTTATAAACATTGCACTGGCGCCAGGCAACGTTGTGGACCCGCTTTACGATGGCCAACTCGAGACCCAGCAGACGTTGCTAATGATGGCGATGTTGTCTGTACCGGCAATGTTGCTCATCAAGCCAATTTACTTAAAGATCCAGAACGACCGCAAAGCGCCACCCGTGAGTCACCACGTGGATTTTGATGACGAGACCGACAGTCGTGTGATCTCGCACCACCACGGCAGCTCCGGCGGTGACCATGGCAAGGAATTTGAGTTTGGCGAAGTGGTGATTCATCAGGGAATCGAAACTATCGAGTTTGTGCTAGGCATGGTCTCAAACACGGCTTCTTACCTGCGTTTGTGGGCCTTAAGTTTGGCTCACTCCGAATTGGCTACTGTGTTTTGGGAGAAGACGATGTTGTCTACCATCAACAGCGACTCGTTTATCGCCATTTTCATTGGCTTCGCTGTGTTTGCAGCCACGACCTTTGGCGTCATTCTTGCTATGGACGTGCTCGAGTGCTTTTTGCACGCGTTGCGTCTGCATTGGGTGGAATTCCAGAACAAATTCTATAAGGCCGACGGCCACAAGTTCCACCCGTTCTCATTCAAGGAGACGATCAAGAACTCGCAGCAGCTGTAAGTGCCTCACCAACTTTGCAAGAGCAACCAGCTCGTGAGAAACCTTTGGTTGTTGGTTGACAAGGAAGTAACTGGAGGACAGACGAACAGATTTCTGACTACGACGATAGGAGGTACAATCGGTGGCAACAGCTCAGCAGTGGTGTGTATTCAATAAGAACTTGCTGACTCCGGCATTTGGTCTTGTTGCATCGCGCCTTGGCCTCTTCTGTCGTTACCACTACCTCGTCACTTGGAAGTCTTGGCGGCCTTTTTCTCCATCTCACTGCATGCACAAGACAACGAACAGCACCCGTGATGGATAGTGAGGATCAACTCTGCCATGCGGTTGCACTCGAACAGAGGCTCTCGCCCCGTCCGTACATGTGCTGGTATTGTTTGCGCAAGTTGCTGCTGGCACTCAAGTCTTTCACTCGCTCGAGTGCCCTGCTGTCTCCATAGAGATAACCCGCGCCCCCGCCGATGACGACTCCCCCGGCAATGGCGAAGAATTGAACGCGTCGCGGAAACGGGCCGAACGCTTAGTTTGAGTAAGTATACAAGCAGAACCCCAGTGAGAAAAAAATAAGTGGAAAACAGACGCTCGAGCAATTTGTCAACTGGCAGTTACTGATAACGGCGGTGGCGACAGCGGCGCCCAGAGCACCGCCAACACTCGAGCAGTACTTTATGTCATTGCGTCGCCGGTCGAACCACACTTTCTCCTCTAGTGTCAGACGTTGTGGGCTGCGTGGGCTGCCGGCGTTAGCGTCCGGGGCCGAGCTCGTCATTGGTGCGATGATTCAAGTGTGAGTGTTGTCTGGGGTCGCCAGGATGGTGCGATACAAACACAGGCGTCGGAACGAGGCAACTACGTTTAAATATCACTGCGAGATTTAATGTTGCGACGAGAGCTAATTTCATGAGAATGGTGATACAGCTCGAACAATTGCCAAACTGGAGGTACGTGTCGTTTCGTTCGAGATGTTTGTGTACAGCACGCGGCAGACTTTAATGCGGTAGCTACATCAAACTCCCATCAATTACCTTAAAAAAAGAAGGCCGTAGTACCGACGCCATCAGTCGTGCAATGAATGGCAGACGTAGTATTCATCGCATCACTGCAAGGGAATGGGGATTGAAAGAGGTCTACACAATCGACTTGCATGCAACGATCGCGGCGCGAGAATTGAACAAACAGCGAAACTCTATAGGCCATGCAAAGCTCAAGTCGATTACGGTAGCGAAGATACTTAGACGCCCAGCTCTCGATTGACATGATTGTCGCTGTACGTAAAGTGCTTGGCGAGCCTTTGAGCAGTAGGAGCGAACCCAAAGCCCGAATGTCGTTTCAGCGCAGACGGCATCGGGTTCCGAGGGTGGGTGTGTGAGACAGCCGCAGTGGGCGTGACCAGGGTGCTACGTGGCTGCAACGATACCACCGTGTTGATCTCGGTAGGATCGGTCGAGTACACATCCATGAGAAAGTCCATGGACTCGTCAAAATTCGGCACCGAGTGCTTACTCTCCGCTCTGCTGATCGCGAATGCCGACGACGGGTACATAGTTTCCTTTCCCATGCACGCGCTCGAGAAAGCAGCTATGTGTCGTTGGCTGAACTCGGAGCTCGTCTTGCTAACTGGGACCGGCGTTGTCGCACAAACACTTGAGCTGTAGTGATGAGGGAGACGGGAGCTGCGAAGAGGCATGGCTGGCAATGACATGGTTCTTGCAAGCGGCATTGTCGCAGTACCAAGCTCCATTGCATGCGAGTAGGCAGTAGGTGAATACCCACGTGTGTGGACGTGCGCGGTAAATGAAGAAAGAAAAACTTGCGGGGGATAGTCGATCCCGCGTGTCATGAGTGATGTCTGTAGGGTACCGTTTCGGTTGCGGAGACCACGCATGCGACGCGCCTGTTTCTCTCGGTACTTCTGGGCGTGCGTCTGAGTTTGACGCACCGTGCGAGTAGCAACCATCTCAGCGATAGCCTTCCACGGCCCTTTCGGGTGGACCTCCAGTGCACGCAAAAAGCGCTCATGCTCGTCCTTTGTCCAGGTCCCCAAAGCCTTGACAACTTCTCCGTTGGCGTCCAGCTGCTGCTGCTCACGGTCCAAAGACTCAGCAACGCGCAGGACGCCATCTTTAACAACTAACAGGTCTTTTCGATCGAGCTCGGCGATGGATGACGTTGAGAGGCAAAGATCATCACGGCTGATAGCTCTTTTCGCAAGCTCTTCAGCTTTGGAAAGAGCCCCGATCTTCTCCTCTCCGCTGCTGTAGAACGCAAAGGTGTCGACACGCGCTTGAAATCGCTCAGCCATTCCAAAGAAAAGGAGTGCAGTCGTCCTCCTTTGATGCAAAACCGTGACGTAGCGGACGACTTGTTCCGATTGTAGCTAAATACGACCAAGAACTCGAACCGATGAGTCGTTAGTTGTCAAGTTCTAGAATGAACAAGTTTAGCACTCAAATTGCTCTCCTCTCTGTCTAGCACACATCCCTAGCATGTGTCTGGTCGCACGAACGGCACAAACGCAGCAGTAGACAGCCGTGATACAATCGATGATAGCGCGAACCGGATGCTCCACGTGCGTGCGTGTCAATTGATTGACTTGAGCGCTGCATATGGCATTACTGTAGCACGTTGCACTGTCTCTAAGTTTGACTGAAAAAACAGCGTCTGGTGTTGGACGATTCGCTTAACAGCTTGAATAAGGGTGGACGTATTGACTAGCTGTCTGTGCTGCACGGAGAGTAACACTGGAAATATTCCAGCCAGTCTTGTTCAAAACGTAATTTCGATAAAGAAGTCAGAGTCGGTCCGTTTTGGCTAAGCGTTGCTGGGCTTGTTGATCCGCTTGACCTTAGCCAGAGCGGCCGAGCCAGACAGTTTCTGCTGAAAGATTTGTACATTTGACTGCCCGAACACATGTGCCCGAGCTGTTGCCGGATCTCGTGGCAATGAGCGCGTAGTTTACCGCTTTTGATAGCATAAAACGGTCTACCGGTCACACGGCAAAGGTTCATCGAAAGTTTGGCGCACGTCACAGACGATACCTGGCTTACGTGCTTTTTAGGCTTTTGTCAACTGCACGCCTTTCCACGGCCATTTTATACGCAGCAAAATTGACGTGTGGGCGATTGCCATTTCGTAGCAGATCAACGGCCGCGTGCGAATAGAAGCGAAGTATCTGCCATGACGTCGGAGTACGTGACTGAAGCTACGAGTCATATGTGGTTCTTCGATCATTGTCGTCGAACGATATTTGGCTGCTGTTTCTTCCAGCCGGAAATACCCGCTCTTTTCACCCCAACTGCGCGGACAGCTGGGATGAAGGTGTGGCGAGCTGTATGTCCCCATCACAAGACCTCGATGAACGAGGTAGCAAAGTTGTCTGCTGACCTTACACAACAGCTTGTCAATTGCTGCTCACATCTGCTTCGAAAAACCGTTGACTGCTACCAGCAACGCATCTTGATGATTGTTCACATCACTGTGTTCTGTCGTCAAAACACGACTGTGGCAATGACGGCGCAAACCGAGTCTTCTTCTTCTTTGCTGCTTTGCTCGAGCATTGGTACAGCTTGGCAGCTAAATTTGCTCTCTGACATATGCCACCACCATCGTTTTTCAAGACACGGACGCACCCGCTGTAATCATCTTAGCGCTATCAACGGGGACATTCGTTAGTGAACAAGCTTGACCATTGGATGAACCTTTCCCTTTCCAACCTTTTTACCTTTCAACGGGGACATTCGTTAGTGAACAAGCTTGACCATTGGATGACCCTTTCTACTTTCCATACCTTTTGCGTCTGAAAGCGCTTATGGGGACCACCGGTACCGATGGATGTATGGTAGCTCGGAAATTCCGCGGGTTTATGTGACAGGATAGTATATCTTGCTTTGACTTGTGTACGTCATTCAGGAGCACGGGCACGTTTAATTGCCGTAGCAACGCATTAGCGATACTCTGACAGAAACTTACGTGAAAAGGGCTGCTGAAATTTAACATTGCGGTGCCCGTTTTACGGTAAGTTTCAAGCATTCAAATCAAAAGAGAGATGCCTAAAACAGCCCTCTTCACACCCTCACCTGTACAGAGAAGCCATTCACACAGTCTTAGCACGGATCCAAGATAAGCTTTCCTTCTCGTAAAGGTAACCCATTGGAATCTACGATGGAGACTTTTGCGCCATACTGTCCATGTTTTTTGGGAGATCAGCATTGCAATGCACATGTGTGGACCTTTATCGTGATATAACTGAACGGCGGAAAGGTCGGATGAGCACATTAGGTGCGAGTGTGACACTTTAGTGGCAATGTCTATAGGTGGCCGAACCGTTACCTATCTTAGGAATTTGCTAGCGAGTAGTACACGACGTAACGAATTGTGGCAGGGTAATCTATGTCTGATGGATAGAAAGATCACAAACTTATATATTCGTGTCAAAGCTATCCAAGATAGCCTTTTTGACCACTCGCATGCGCGGCACAGCCAAAGAGCGTATGATCACGAAGTGAAGAGCTAGTCATACATTGCCGAGGTTTTATACGGAAAAATAAGCGGGTGATTGTGTACGTTGCCCACCATGAACACTGATACATGTACGTTTATCGATATTTTCATGCAAGACCTCACCAGAGCTGCTAAAGCGAATACACTGTGCTCCCTTTGATAAGTCGTTCTCCATTAAGCTGCATCATTCCGTAAGTTTCAAGCTGGTATTCCTCACGCTATCCTTGTGGCCGGAACGTTATCATTCGTGCAAGAACAAGCAATACTATGATGTCGATGTAATTTGAAAGATTTGGCTCGTTTTCGCATCGAACGGGTGTTTATCAAACACTGTCTTCGACGAGATAAGTTTTGTCCGGAAGGAGATACGCTTAGATTGCAAGATAAAAATGGTTTGAGTGATATGTACGGTGTGAATTTAAAGTCAATAGCCGCATAGCACGCTATAGCAGTGTTGTGACTTATCTGAAACGATACAGCCGCGAGAGGACATAACGCCGAAATTTGACCTTTTTCTGTTATGATGATGGTCAACAACTTAGCTTTGTGCAGTCGCCTAAGCTTTACAATCGAGTTTCAAGCGCATCTTTAACACTTCGGTCAGCTTTGAATCGTCACTCTTGACCTCACCATGTGATCAAGAAGCTTTAAATCAGTCGTGAGTACTCGTATACACAGCGTGTTCTAAGCCCTGTTGCAATCTCTCTAGCATTGAGCTTTCATCTAATACTGTGTTCCTGATAAAACCAGATGTATATACCTTGACACACGAAGATATATATTACGTAGCTTAGCGCTTTCTGGCTAAAAGACAACTCGCCTTGCACTTCGCACTTTCCAGACTAAGCTTTTCATGCATGCGGTTGCAGCTAATCTGCGAACCGACACATTCGTTAGTCCGTCGTTTCCCTTGTCCCTTGTTTCAGCCAGTTTGAACCAACGGTAAACGGACTCGATATGCTCCAACGACTTCAAATTGGGAACATATTACAACACTAAGTGCCTTGGTAAGGCGAACGCGATACATTCCTTGTGCTGTTGAGTCTCTGGCTCTTTGACCTGTGATCTTTTAAGTCTATGGGTCTAAGTCTTTAGTCCTTTATACTACGTTGACTTTCAAAGTCGTTGTTTTAGACACGTTGATTCTAACAATCGTTCTTTATTTAACAAGTGAAGTCTTTGAGTCAATTTATCGTCGAAGAACTTAGTAGCTATTTAAGCTTCACCCTTCCTCGAGAATGAATTTACAATTCCTCCGCTACACTAACATGGAAACCAACGCGTCACTACAGAAACGATATAGCAGCAACACCGTGACGTGATGTTTCTTGGACTTCACCTCGGATATATGTACTCATTTGCTTATGTCGACTTGATCTTTCGAGATGCATGCGAACAGTGTAGCTTCTTCGAGAGACTGAGGCATATTCAAGGCGTGCTCCACTCACTCGACAACACAATGTTTTGACACCTACCCAACATGCCTGGACATATGTGTAAGAAGTTGAATGAATAACAACATGTCTGCAAGGTTGGTGTATTGCTCGAATGTACTCCGCAGACCATGAACCATATAAAGAACAGCTTTCGTTGTCTTTCCCTACTTCCTTCCTCAATTGTTGACTCTATCGGAATAGTATCCTCACCATTTAAAGTGTTTACGTGGATTCCACATTGGCGCATACAGGCACTTTTTCCATCGATCCCATTTATTCTCAGCGGCAAAGGCATTTTGGAATATCTACATTTTATCTCATACAAAGTATGCTTTCCGGTCAGGCGGATACCGTTAACGAGGTGGGATGTGATCATCCGAAGCGCCAATGAACGCATGAACGATCAACAATTGTCAATCAAGTGGGTCAAGGGTGCATAGTTAGCTGGCATACGCTGTATACGGAATGGTAAGCATCGTCATACCTACTATAACGGGGTAGATGTGTGTGTGGATGACTGGAAGTGGTTTATTGCAACTTGTATACTACCCTGATGTGCCCTCTCCCGTTTAACAGAAATGTTAAACAAGGTTTAAATATTCCTCTGGCAGTGAAGATCAGATTGCTGTTATTTATTTAGGTGTTCGAGGACTTTTGGATCAAATTTCCGTAATTAAAAGTTCACTTGTTGAAAAAAAAGGTTAATTTCAATAAAAAGAACCAATTCAGATAGATAAGAAGAATTTTTAGAGCGGTTTTTTATCAAAAAGGATAAAAAATACATGTTTTACAAATGCCCCAGATAATTGGAAACTAAAATAGATGGTCCAGATAATCAAAAATTAAATAAATATGCACCATTAAAATCACGAAAATAAAGAAATGCCCCACGTCCTATTTTACTTAAGTCAATGTGGCAAAAATGACACCTCACGTCCTCGATACTAAATATTAATAAATTCTATGTAGGGCTGGCCACACCCGCAATAGAAAGCGACGACGAACAGCGCCTATTTTGCAGCTTCATCAATAACTGGGGCTACTCGAGTAAGAGCGACATATCCCAAGTTGTCATCAAATTCAATAGAAGATGCAACCATCTATCCCGCGTTGAAAAGAGTGATAGACGACGTTACAAAGTCGAGTGCACGCAAGATGACGGTCCATTTGTTGTACAATTTGCGTTTTCGCACACGTTCGGTACACCGACACGATATTCACCACACTCTTGCCAGGTTTCCGAATCTACAAAATAGTCTCAACGGTGCGCGACGGCTAAACAGATTGCTTTAAATTCTGCAGTCAGAGAGATGGCCATGACTTACGGCCGGGAGGTGACTCCTTTGATGATGTCGAGTGAGGCTGA